TGATGATGGAATGGGTTTTTTGCTGTTGATTTTTTATGAAAAAAATAAAACAAACTTCAATTTATGTTTTAAATTTGCTGAATTATATAGAACATAATATTATGTTCCTCTATATAGTAATATTATTATTATATAGGTACTATTTTTAACTAACCTTTATAGTTATTGTCTAGTAAAAGTAGTAAAACAATACCAATTGTAGGTAGATGTCGATATTATTTTTATTATAATATATTATTTAGTTAATTTAAACCCGAAAATATTTCAAAATGTTACTGATCTAAAATCACAACTATACGATGTTATTTTAACATACCTACCCAACAGCATTAAATGTATGCTTATACATGTAAATAAGTTTGATTTATCGTTTTTAATTAATATTTAACGATACATAGTTTGTATACGTGCTGTACAAACTATTATAGTATTAATAATGCACTTTGATGGATTATTTTGTATTAGAAACGAAGCAATTAATTTAATCTCAAGATAAATGGTCCACCACAGCCGAAGTTTGTTTGCATTTCCGACTTGTTAATGGCGAAACCGAGACGCAACCGTCCTTCGGTCGAAGCCAAGCATAGGTAAGTATATGTCTGCTTTTGCAAACGTTTTATCGACAGACATAAAATTTAAACTGGCCAATAAAACACCTCGTACGGACAATTTTTTTCCCCACTTTATGCATATAGGTGTATAAAACGCACGCTGTTATATAGGTAGACCTTGAACAGGTGTTATATTATAATATAATATGTGTGCAGCTGTTGCCTACGAAATGTCTTATACTTTGCACCTTGTCCCATTTTGAAAACCCCTTTCCCGAGTAATAGTCAACATTTGTACAACAATGGTCATCAGTATTATATACGCTAGAATAAAAACAAACAACTCATATGTAGAGCATAATATATATATATCGTGTTTACCTACTACCCACTTATATCATTTACATATGTAAACATTTTCTATGTGAACAATAATTATTCACCGAGTGATATTGTGTGACGCGAGGTTTTTAAAACAAATTTGTTTTAGGTATCTAATCAGTGGCGCACAGCGATATTTTGAGAGCACATGCAACTAACAAAAGTTACCCACCCACCCACCCATTTTTTTTATTTAAAAAAACGTTCTTTTGAACTGTTATTTGTAACTGTAATTAACTTAAAATTCCTATACTTTATCTATGTACCTATAACCATACTCACCCACCCACCCACCCACCATGAGAGCACATGCAGTTGCACCCCTTGCTAACCTGTCTGGGCGCCACTGTATCTAATTATACAGTAAAATGATTAATTTACTGTCCAGACTGAATGTACGCAATTAATTTTAATTTTAGATAAAAACGGAATAATTTTCAATAGAGAACTAAACAATAAAAATAATATATACATTTATGTAATATAATAATATTTAAATTCAGATATTACAGTTAGGAGGGGACAACCTGGAGAGTGGACGGTTTTAATTTCTTGTTGATATAGGTATACCGTATACCCTTAAGTCTTGGGTCGATGAATTGTGAATACATTTTGAATAATACACAGCAGTGCTTTTTGTGGGGGGTGTTGACCAGTCGCCCCCCCCCACGGCTGTTATCGGGATTTCAAAAACATACCAGTTGCCCTTACATGTTCATATGTACTATATACAGGATTACAATATATAACCCGTAAATATACAAATAATAAATAAAATTATTTAAAATAGTATAAAATGATAGAAACAAAATTATATGCTTGGAATATATACCTAATATACTGTATTTTGTGATAAATAACAATTACTAACAAAATAATACGAATAAAATAGTCAATAAAATAATAAATATTATAATTATGTGACATTCAATGATATAATTTTTCATCAAAAAAATAGTATAAAATTATAGAAAAAATTCATAATAAATTATATAGTTATAATGAAAAGTGGCATATTCAATGTGATAATTTGTCAAAAAAAAAAAAAAAAAAATAGTAAATAAATTAGATATAATATTATGTACTATGTTTTGTTATAATAATTACTATCTATAATTATTATATGTATATTTACCTCCCCTATTTTACGGGCTGTATATTTTAATCGTATATATATTTACATATGAGGGCAACTGGGGTACATTTTGCTCTAGGTAGTTTGGGGGAAATTGGTATAAAAAAAGGTACTTTTGGGGCAACTGGTACATGCCCTTTGTGGGATTTAGAATTATTTTTCCATTTTTTTCACCCAGCTATATTCAATAAGGTTTAGATTAGTTGGTATATTACTAATCATTTGTAGATAACATTTTATTGCTTGGCAGTTATAGTAAATAAGCACCTATATAATTCCTAAATTTCGTAATTTCGAAAATATATTATTGAGTTATTTGAGTCGTAATCCTTCTGTAACAAATAAAAATATGTATAATAGTGGTAGCTATAGCAGTAGGCAAAGTATTATTATTATTATTTTTTTTTTTATTGATTATTGATAAATAATATTATATTTGGATGCGATGTGGCAAGCATAGGTGCAAATTGGGGGGATTGGAGGGGACTAAGCCCCCCAAACTTAGCCTTAGCTCCTCCCAAAATCCTAGGACATACAATTTTAATATGCTATATTGCAATAGTCTGCTTGCCAGCTTGAATTTAATATATTCAACCCCCCCCCCCAAGTCAAAAGTTGAAATTTCGCCTATGGGGGCACGTACCCACCAGTATTTATTTTGACTACCACACTTGGGCCACCACAACGACGAAACATTATTTTATGAATGTCAACGTTTGGTAGCAAATGCAAATGATACAATAATACTGCATATCGGACAACTTTACAAATTTAGGGTTATCTACATGCCAAAACTCTAATAATATTTGTGTCGCTGGTCTGCAAACAGGCCACTGGCCAGTGATAATCCACGATAATATAATATATAAAGTAGATAAGTAAAATATTAACACCATGTCATAATCACAGATATATATATCTATGGTCATAATATTGATAAATATCATAAAACGAGTTGTGTGATTGTTTTTAACAAGATTTTCCTAGAATTTTCCATTCCCACCCAACAGCCCATATTGTAATAATATTATGTTAATTGATTCTAATTTCTAAATATAGATAGTTGTCCTGTACAAATATTTGGTCTAAATAATGGTTGAAATTATATTTTTTAATATAAATATATCAAAGTGGTCTAAACATGCTTTGCGGAGGTTTGCAATATAATAATATAATCAAATAAAAAATGTGCCAATTGCTCATATTCGTTGGTACACATTATCACATTTTCCTGAACAATAATTATACGTATAATACTTTAATATAAATACATAATATAATACAATATACCACGTTGTTTTAACTGTATTTCCTTCCTACCGGTGTACCTATTATCTATTAATTCTAAAAGATATTGATATTTTATTTCAGCCTATGGTTTATTATGACAACTGACAAGTGCACGTGTATATAAGGTGTATTTTCCAACATATTTCAAACCGTGTTTGCTAACACAAGTTGTGGACCGTAGTCGGTATACATGTAGGTGGGTAACTACTCAAAAATTAATTTCCACCTACTTGAACTCGACGTCGCGACAAGTTCGTTAATGTTACACAATCCTGCAGCAAGAATATTATTTTGTGTCGTATACCGCGGTAAGTGCTACACCTAACCCTTCGTATTATAACGATAAATACCGTCTACATATTGTTATAATCAACCTAAATGAGAACAATAATAGGTACCTAAATACATTAAGCTCTAATCGCGTGTTCCGCACTAACGTCTAGGTTTAACCGACATTTGGAACGGTGTGTGTTTGTCTTACACTTGAGGTATTATTGTGTTATCATCAGTCGTCTGGATGGATTTGGATACGATCGTAATACCTACTAGCTGCATCCGCTGCGTAGATATGTGCGCCAATATTAATAAATAGTATAACGACCATGACACATCTGACAGATATCTTAACATTCAAACGGGCACAGAATGAAAAATCAATATCCCGAGTCATCATACGATAATAATACCAATAATCACTCTGTTATATCTACTGAAAATGTATTTATTCGAAAAACAATATATCCGTTGCGAATAAGAACTGAAACAGAAATAATTGTTTAATATACATTAATTTAGGATAAGTAAAGTACTTAGAAGCCCATTTGTGCACAGGTGCGTGGCTCCACTATACGGTATTCATACCAAAGACAGGTGTGGATGATGGACTGATGTCGCTTGACCGCCGAGGGCAAAAACTGGTCACAGCGCAGTACGGTACTTACATACCGAAGAGAGTATAGTAATTTTGTATTTTTGCGAAATATAGAAAATAACTACTAAATAAAAACACGTTTTAGCCTCGAGGAAAATCCTTATATATTGCTCAGAACAAAGACAGGTATAGAAAATTAACAGTAAATCATTCTAAGGTAACCCTTGTTGAAATAAACAGACACAAAAATCAGTTTAGATATCTATATTATATTGTGTTAAAAAACATAACTTTAATATAATATATTATACATACATATTAACTGGTATAAAACAATACTGTCACGTTGTTCATTACTCAATCAACAGGTAGACAACGCTGGTGTTTCATTAGACATTTGGACAAATATTAACACTGTTAAATTATTTGTAACAATATGTACCACGTAAACGTCTTTTATTTTACACCTATACTCATAATAATAATATTATGAAGTGGTAAAATTTGTTTATAATATGTAGGAGGGGTGCCTAATACATTTCTGTAATTACTGAACAAATTCTAAAAATCATTTTATTGATAGAAAGGAACTACACAATATTATCGGGTAATATAATAATATGCGCAAGTAGGTATTTGATGTACATATAGTAATTTAAGTAATAATTAAGTGCCTTTTAGATGTTCGCGATAATCTCGAAAACTTCTGACTCGATTTACATTTTATGATTTTTTTTCTCATGTAGATAATTTTTTGACACGATGGTTGTGTATGGCGTTTTTCGATTTAGCCGATGAAACATCCCAAGACATGCCCACCATAATTCATTTATCGGTTGGCAATCCTTCACGGTTTCGATATCATTACACCATTATTACGATGATGACTGGTGAGATCATTTATAACAACGTTGGATCAACCAAATCCGTGGATTTCACGTCTATGTGGCGGCCACGCATCACCACCGCGGCACGACGACCAGTCGACTTTACAGTTTACGCCTTCGCACAGCAACCTTCCGAAAGTCCACACGGTATAATATCCAACAAATATCGTCCAACCGCCGTCTCAATCATCTCATATCATTCGACACCGTCGGCATCGCAGTCATAATTTAATAATATTATAACGACAGCATAATGTTCGCCCTGCCGTCGGGCTACGTGGCCGCGCAAGAAGCGGGAAAAACGTTCGCCGCCGACTACTACGGCCGGCTGAACGCGTCCGCCGAATCGGTGGTCGACATGTTCAGCCAGCGGTCGCGGTACTACTCGATGGACTCGTTGAACGGTCGGCCGGCGGTCGGTCGGTCCGACATCGTCAGGGAGGTGCGCCGGTTTCTGGGCACGTACAGCGGCGGCCGCCGTTCCGTGTGCGTCCTGTCGGTGGACGCGCAGATCGACGCCGACGGCCATGGCGGACGGCCGACCGGGAAGAACTTCGGCCGCTACGACAGCGACGACTGCAGCGACAACGGCTCCGACCTCGACGAACCGTCGCTGGCCGTGTTCGTGCGCGCCGAGTGGACGGATATGGCGCGCCGGACGTTGGCGCCGATGCCGTTCGTCCAGACGTTCCGCGTCCGGTGTCTGCGGGCCGCCGTCCACGGTTACCGGTTCAAGATCGACATCACAGTGGTCAAGACGATGGTGGCCATCATCGATGGTGGAATCCAACCGCCGTTGCAGGGGCGCCATCGACGGGCGGACGCCGCCGACCACAACCACGGTAACGTATGACTTTCCATTACAATAATATTATATTATACTGCTATAATAATTACTATAAAAATGCGACGATGGGCGTTTTTTGGCAGTAGAATACTTACAAAGCAGATTAGAAATAAATTACAATAACGTTTTTAACTTGGACAATATAGCGACATACGTACTATTCGGTTTTAGGTTGGTAGGTAGGTATATGACTTACTAAAACTTAGAAAACGCTCAGATTATAAAAACGGTTGTTCGTTCCGGTGAACTTGTCGTCAGAAAGTGCTTTCTTCTTAGAACAAATATCACAAAAATGTTTATTATTTATTACTCATCTGTTATCAGTAACCAAGTAACCGAGTCACTTATGTTTGCAGTATAGCAAAAATCGCGTCATATTAATATTATTACTATTATATTTATATATTTTTTTTGTTTATTAATCAACCCGCTGAAACTTAGGCCATTGGGTGGTTTTTTAACCGCGGAGGAGGGTACTGTGTACACGTATGTTTTAGTTTGGCAGAATTTTCAAGTGGCCACCCGTAGGTATCTGCCATGCCTGGGTGGGGGATGGCGAGGTTATCCACTGGATTGTGTTATGTTATGGTTTTTATGGCATTCGTGAGGCCACTGTCACTGTGCCCGATCGTACAATCCTATAAACACAATTATTGTATATATTCATGTGGCAGAAAATTCTACATCAACGTAGGTATAATAGGTACTTAGGTAGATCCCTCGGAGTAACGGTATAGTTATTACTAGTAGCTAATATTATCGAGTTATACGGCGACAACGAACGAGAAAATAAAACCGTTATTGAAAATGGCTACTAAAAAAAAAAAATCTATCCGTAGATAAGTATATAGGTATAATATGATAAATGTGCATTATGATGTAGACAATAAAGATCGTCGTGATCTTCTCCGAGGAAGAATATATTATTATTTATACATACTCTTGTCTCTTGGGATTTTTCTCTTTTTAGCATCATAAAATAAGTAATTTATTATCTATTCCTAGCATTTGGTATAGTATTTTAACATTATTTCCTCCCTCAGATGAGGTTGAATACTTGAATATTCCACCTATATTCGTTATTGTATCATCTATGGTACCTTTTTTTCGTTGTTTAAAATCACAGACTTCCATACTACAAAAATACATAATATTATTTTCTAATCTGTGCTTAAAATTAATATCTAATTTAAATCCATTTCCATCTAATATAATATGGATTTGACAACCTTCGGTAGGTCACGTGAGGTAAATTTTTATCCCCTTAAATTTCAAACTATTTTTTAATATTATTTTGAGTGGTGTAAATGGGATTTGTCTTTATAGCCTCTAATTATGTGTAATTATTATAGGACATATATATATATATATATATATATAAAATACCTATATTTCAATTTAAAAATATTTATATCTGTTATATTATTTATATTTATTTTAAAACTAATAAATGTCAAAGAAAAATAATATATTTAGATTAATTTACCCTGTGTGACGGATTAGGTACTCTGAACCCGCGAGACCTACTGAAGGTTAACCTGGAAATTATGTCGTGATGCTAATAATTTGACGTCATGATTCATAAAGTTTGTACGATATAATATTATGCCATAGACCGTCATTTGTACACTCAGAGTGGACCGGTCAAAGATAGATAGTGGGCTCTCCTCTTGTGGGACTTTTGACAACACGATAATAGATCATTTATAGTGTGGTGTGTGTATTTCATCAATATTGTCTTCTGGCAAAGTTAATATTTTATAAACGCATTTTTCACGAATTCACCAATACTAATTAAAATATACTAAGGGGGCTGGAGCGTAATCAATTCTAAGGAGTAAAAATTAGGCATTTTATATTTAAAGTTAAATAGGTCTTGTTGAAAGTAAATGATCATTATTGTGTGTAATTCGTAGCACCGATCGCGTTGTATAGGGGCATCATAATACGTCTGTCATTTCACCTATGCGCATGCTCATGTCACCACTTATTACTTTATAAAATTACAAACATTTTTTTTTCAAAAAATACTGCCAGTGACTTCAATCACTACTCTCAGTAGGCTGTTCCTATTTAAATTTTGAAAGCAGATTTGAATTCTCCTCTGAATTGACTATGCTTTGACTGTTATACATTTTTCATATTTTATATCAATGTATTTCATTTTGAATTATGAATATAATCTATTTTTACTCTTTTTGTTAGTAAATTTCTATTTTCTAAGTAAAAAAAAAAAAAATCAGAAAAATGAAATTGTTAAAGCATAGATAATTTAGTGACGAATTCAAATCTGCTTTTAAAATTAATAACGCAGAACATTATATTGTGCGTAGTGATTGAAGTCGTGATCTATGTTTCGACCGAAAATTAATCACGCTCCAGACCCCTTAACATTATTTTTAATTGAAATTATTTATTAGTTTATTACCTATATAATATGTTATACACGTTATCAGTGCATATTACAAATTGTATACCCTACTACAATAATGGGCTACATAGGGTATATCACTTGCTGTCTGCTGTATGTTTGACTGACCGCTTTTACTTCGATAGCAATATATACCTATAGACAAGGTCTGTCTAATTGTATAAAATGGTATACAAATATGGTCTATGGTAGGTATTATATACGATGCAGTGCTATAAATTATACTCATAAAAAGTATTCAAGTACAGTTACAGAAACTCGTTTTAAAAATTAATTAAAAATCTTCTTTGAATCCTCTGTAAAAAAGTATAACTCTCAAATAAGTACTCACACTCATTTTTACATAACATTTTGTGTAACCTTATAAACATAAACGAATTTACTCAAAAATTTCCATATTTTACATTAATTTTATAGACTTTATAATAACGGATTATAGGGCATTTATTTACACCTTATAATTTGGTAAAACTTATGTCTTTGTCGAGTCAACTATTAGTTACCCATTTTAATTTTCAATTGGGAAAAATCACCCCAAACGATATATTATCGTAATCATATTCATATTACGCAGTGGTCAAGAAATTCATTACCTAGTAATTGTTTTTAAGAATAAACTATATTTCGTGTTGTGTATACAATTATCATTCTTATTTCTTATACATCAACAACTGATGTATATGAGTGAACTGTGATAGTATTTTACAGGACACTATATATAGAGATACCTAATGCGCTCAATAACTTCATACTACCAAGGTACCTATATAGACGATATACCATTAAAAATAAAATTTCTAATATTTTCTGACCAAAATGCAAACATCCAATTTTTTTATTTTTTTTTTTAATTTAACGTGATTGAATTAAAAATAGAAAAAATATCAACTAAAAATAAAAAGCAATTTTAATTTAGTATCTTTTAAACACAAATACTTTTAAAAAGTATTTAAAATACGTATTTAAGTACTTTTACTCAAATACTTACAAAATACAAGTCTGATAATAATAATTCTAATATATAGAATTTGTAACAATTCAAATCAAAACGGTACTTAAAATACATATATATATATATATTATACTCGATATTATACATATACCTACCTACCTACCTACAATAGTATTATAGAAAATTAAACTTATCAACCTTTATTGGACATGTCTGATTTTGAAACCTTCGATAAGTTTAATTGTTCGGTTCCAGAAAGCTAATTTGAAAGTTTGAAGGTTATAATCAAAAACTTTGATAGGTCACGTTTATGGATATTACTCATGACGAATGTATATAATGACTTAAATACGAATTCAATTCATCTAAACACTTCATTGTTAGTGGTCAAAAACAAATTTATATTATATAGGTCAAAGTAAAAACTATTCAGTAGGTACCTATCTTAATTTCGAGCAAAATTTATATCAAATACAATCATCTTCAGACGTATGTACAAATGATATGTAAAAAAAATGAATTGTATATTATTAAGTTATATAGCTGCAATATGTACTAAAATGTTTGAATTTAAAAGTTTAAGGGGTATTGTTGAATCTACATACTTTAAACATCCCACTTGTTGAGCAGACTATTAGATTCGAATAGATTAGATATAATGTTTTAAAATTTTTTAAAAATAAAAAAACAACTATATACTTACAGCATAGTAAACATATTTTACTAGGCATACATTTATTTAATAATTAAATAAATAATATTAATTATAATCATAGTATCAGACTTCGTCATTTTTCTATGAAAAATATTATTATTATGAGTAATATTGTATTATATTAATTATACCTACGTGTTTTAGTATAATAGGTATAGGTGGGCATATGACTTATTGTCACTTTGACTTGAGAATACTCCTTAAGTTGTTTTACTTTTTAAAATTTGATTTAATTTTAGCTGCATACATAGTATAATATATGTACAAATTATTTATAATATATGTAAATTATTTTCGACTTATTAAAATAAGCGGATGGATGACTAGTGTTTATTTTGTAAAACATTCCAATTATTTTTCTCCTTATTTTATATTTATAATATAGTTACATTAATTTGTTAAAAAGGTTATATTTTATTTTATTATAACTTCGGAGCATTCATAAATATTTTTGATCTGTTCTTGTACTCATTCAGTTATAATTAATAATCTTCTGTTATTTTTAAATCGAGCGTGGAGTGTGTGCTACATTTTGTATATTTTTAATTCATAGATAAATATTGCATAAAATGATCAAGTTACTGATTATACAAATGTAGAAAAAACTAATTTTAGATAAAATAATGAATACTTGATAGCTTATTAAAGTACGATATATATTCCCATATTATCCAGGTCTCACATATTATCCTACTATCTGATAAATGTTTTTTTTCTTTAAATAACAAACTAGGATTAGATGTAAAAAGGTATAAAGACGATTAATATTATTATACCATTGATGTATGCTAACTAATAAACGTATGCAAAAAGTGATCAACTCAAAATTATTATGTATTTTAGATTCTGAGCGGAGCGATGAATGTATTGGTTTTACAATGATGTATGTTTTTATATTTTTATATTTT